GGCCCGCGGGGAGCGGGGCAGGCCGCCGTGGGACTGGGCTTTGGCTCCGCCGCCGGCCCCCGGGGCGGGTGGTCGAAGGTCTGGCGGCTGGGTCCACTCGGAGACGAACCCCAAGTCCCTGTCGTTGTTTTCTCCCGTGCGGTGTTGCCTAGAGATCCAAGGGTTTTGTCTTCCAAGAGCTCTGCCCACAATAATTAAGTCGTAGCTTGCCCGTACGAAACTTACAGTAACTGTTACCTAACTCTTGGAAACTTTTGGCGTTCAGCGTGTGGTGCTACAATGAGGTCTTCGTATGTTTTGAGTGACAGACTAAGACTTTTATTTGGTAGGGCCAGGCTTATTCTCCAACTTTAAAAGCAAAGGGTGGGGGTGTGTTAATGTATTCTTGATGTATAGCCAAAACAATTGATATTGCCTGTTTTTTTCCCCAGTAGACTAGAGTAGTTGGAAATTTTTTAGTGGTTTTGGAGTACTCTTTTCTTTTTTTCTGGTCTGCTGGTGTTCAGATAAAACTGTTCACCGGGAAGCCCATAACATAGGAGTGGGAATAAAGGAGGGACAAAGAGGGGAAGGAAAAAGGAAGCTCAGTTTAGTTGATGAAGTGCAAAGAATTATCATCTCATTGTTGAAATGGTTTTAATTTTTAAACAGGAAAATATAGTTGCTCAAGGTGAAACTTGAAGTGTGTGCTGACCTGTCACATTCAAGCTTGCTGTTCTTTGGTGTAGGTCCTGGTGTTGCATCTCCAGATGAAGGAGTAGTAGAAGATCTGCCTTTAATAGATGAGAAAGCTGTGGAGCAGCTAACTGAAGGATTGATTTCTCATTATCTGCCTGATCTTCAGCGATCAAAATCAGCACTGCAGGAACTTACGTAAGCAAGTTTTTAAAACCAACTTCTCACATGTGCATATCTTATTTGCTGCTTTTTTTCAGTATAACGTTCTAGCTACCCTTAACTAGAATATAGTTTACTGCAGCATTTCTGTGTTCTGACTATAGCATCCCGACAAGTTAAGTGATTTGCAGGAGTATTGGGGGGTGTATAAGCTGCAGCGTAGCCTATCAGAACTTTGCAGAATGTATAATGCTAGAACACTAAAATCCCCAAAGCCGGGTATAGCAGAAGACATGTAGGTTTCTTAAATACTTGTTCACTTCTCTAGTGGAAAGTCTGCCAAAAGCTGAATTTTTTGCTTGCAGAGATGCAATTCATATTCAGGGCAGCTTGTAGTGCGGTATATTGTTTGTTGTCCAGTCTCTAAACTGTGTTGCAAAAGATACACTTGGAAAATATAATTAAGGAGCTAACCAGATAAGGATTCTTTGTACATTGGCTTCTCACTGATAGCTGAGAATAGTTTATTTCAAACGCAGGCTGGGTCTCCCATGGATGCAGAGGTACTGGAAAGGCTTTACACAGATCCATCTCGGGTTTGGCAGGGTACATTGGTTTGGGTTTCAGGATGCATGGTGTGGTTAATGCTGCTGCCAAGGACAGCCTGTGTCTGGAAAGACTTTAGCTGATTTGTGTGGGATGGAGAATCCTTAATAAGCACCGAGGATCCACGCAAGTTCTATACAGAAATAATTTAGTCCCACGCCATGATGCAGAGGCACTCGAGTACGAAGTCAAAAGCTAATTGTTTTTTCCTTCATTCAGCCTGCAGAGTGCCTGTTTGGGGTTTTGGATATTTATCCTGGATACCCATGCTCTATGATGGCAGCTGAGTTTGTGTGTAGTCAGCTGGGATTTCTCTATATCCATTTACTCGTGTCTTTATTGAAATCACCTAGCAATGCATAAGAGGAATCTGATATAGGGAAGCATGTATTTATATTGTTATGATCAAAAGTAATATTTATTTAAAGGGCTGGTTAAAAAGCACATATGCTACTTTACTTTGATTTTATGCATCATTTTTGTTTCAGACAGAACCAAGTGGTATTACTAGAAACATTAGAACAAGAAATTTCAAAATTCAAGGAGTGTAACTCCATTCTTGATATCGATGCTTTGGTAAGTATTATTAATGCTTTCTTAAATCTCTATTAGCATAGATTTTCTTGCTGAAGCATTAGTATCAACCTGTGTATTTTCCTTGTTCTTAATGCCCTACAGGAACAGAACCAACCAGTTCAGATATTCAGGACAAATTATTGCTGGAGAGGGTGTGGAACCAGTGTATTTCCTTTAGATCAGAAGGGCACTGGGAAGAAGAGCAGCTCAGTCAGCTAGTGGTAGTAAGCCTAGTTGTTAAGAACCAGTAGCCAAAGTGAAGGGATGCCATTGGTCTGAGGCTCCAAAGTGAGCTCTCTGAACCTCTCCAGACTAGTAGGAAGGGTGTGTGAAACACTGATATACAGTGCATAAAATGGTAATATTTTTCATCTGTTTAGTGAATCTTCGTTCAGTAGATTACTGGGTGTACTTGTTGACGTATGGAAGTTTTCTGTATTAATACATGCAGTATGTGAACTTTATATGTAAACTTGAACGTGTTTAATCCATTATCAAGCTGTTCTGGTAATCACTATGTTTTTGATTGCTGTTTTGGTGTGTGGCTTTATAGAACAACTATTCCAACTTGACAGTCACTTCTTTAACAGTTGTGTTTTTCAAGTTTTCAGAAGCTAAACACTATCACAACAAGTTAGTGAATATTAGAAATGAAATGATGATGCTCCATGAGAAGACATCAAAGTTAAAAGTGAGTGGGATAAATATTTTTACTTTCCAACATAAATATTTATGTATTGTTGACTTTCAGTTTCTATGTTAGATACATGCTGAAAGTTCTGATTTAAAATACAATTTTCAATCCTTATCTTAAATGGATGGTTTCAGCAGTGCCAAGTCATGTATGTTTTTAAACTTTTACTTATTCTTAGGTGTACTCAAGCAACTTACGCACCTGAACTACTAGTAAGTCTCTGTTGTCATTATGTTTAGGTGGTGTAAGAATTATGCTTTGTTCTGTCACTTATTCCACTCCATTCCAACTAGTTCTCTGTTGTTTCAGTTTCTGTGCCTTTAAAATGAAAACTAGATTGTCACAAATGTAAGAATTTCTCCTTCTATTTCATGTAATATTAACAGTGGCATAAGTTCACTGACTTCATGCTATATAGGCAGTCTCTGGTTACGTTCTGGCAAGATTAGTCCTTGAGTATGTTGAACAAAAGGATTTTTTTCTTGGAGGCAGCACATTGCACAGTATGCACCTTGCGTGGTATCCATGAAGGATGACTCTTAGTGAGACTGAAGGGAGTCTAGTCTATTTTCTCTGTGTAGATCACAGACTTGCTGCTTCTTAACAGCAAGATGGAAGTGGGAGGGAGGAAGAAAAAACAATCGGTTTATGCAACATTCAGTCATAAGCAGTGTGGCCTGGAGAAGATACTGTTAAGAGAATGGGGGGGGATTTTGTTTGTACCTCCAACTTAAATACAGCTATGAAACTTACAATTATTTTCTGGTCTTTTCTGTTTAGAAAAGAGCACTTAAACTGCAACAAAAGAGGCAGAAAGAAGAATTAGAACGAGAACAGCAACGTGAGAAGGAACTCGAAAGAGAGAAGCAGTTAACAGCAAAACCTGCTAGGAGGACATGAAAGCAGAGCATGCAACAACTTGTCTGAATTAAATCATTTCTGCATTCTCTGGAATTAAGGCAGACTTTGCTTAAACTGGGTTATAGCTGTTACTAGCAACAGTCCATGATACTATAAATTCCAGAATGGTAATAATAGGATTGGTAACATTCAAATTTTTTAATTTCAGCCATTCAAGTTGCCTTCTTTAGTAATGCTATGCAGTTTGATGTTGTTATAATGTAAGGTGGGTATTTTTTTTGGTGTATAGGAGATCTTAGGCATCACAGTTTTAAATACCTATCCATTTTTTGTCTGTTCAGGTGTTTAGATTTCTGAGAGATATTTGGTGACTGGCATACATGGTTTTTAGACAAAATACAGAATACTAGTTAAAGTTCAGTCCTCATCATCAGACTTCAGTGGCCACCTATTTAACTGAAACCCCTTTGATTCAGGCAGTTGGGATCTTTTTTTGATGCCCTGGTTCATAAATACTGACTTTTTGTGCAGCTTTAATTTGGTCTGTCTCCAATGAATTGAAGAAACTTCCATTGTATTTGCCTGAAAGTTCACTTTATTGCAGTGGTCTTACTTTTTTTTGTCATCAAGTACTTAAGAACAGCTTTAAACTAACTTCTGATTAAGTTCCTGGCTGAATTGTTGCAGGGGGAAGCAGAACACTAAAAATTCTCAAAACTGATGTGTGCACAATGCAAAGATTAATGAGTCTGTGCTTCCACAAACATTTGAATTGAACCAGGGAACTGTTGCTTCTGTCATGACTCGACAGGAAGACTGTGTGGTCTAAGCAGATTTCTGTGGGATTAGAAGTTGTCGTTTTTTCATTTTGTGTGACAAAATAAAACACAACCAAAACTAAACGATTTCTACTTCATGTGAAATTCAGTTACCTGTAGGAAAAACTACTGCATTTAATTTTTTTCCTTAATAAATTATTCATTTGCACTTCAGGGCTACGTAAAAGAATTTCTGTTATGCTGTCCTCAGCCAAACTGATGAGTGTTAGTGTATATGATGGTAAATGTGGAATGGAGGTTGATATCCATTTCTCTGAATGTAATTACTAATTCTTGCAGCACTTGGTGTGAACTCTCATTCAAATGAATGTACGTGTTGTCTAGACTTGTAAAAGAGCTTTAAACTGTTTGTTCTTGGTCTAACAAACTAGTTATTTTGTATCTGTTATTTTTAAAGTAGTAATGAAAGTGGTGTGTTTTGAAGTGAGATAAAGGGTAAGCTCTGTAAAGTTTTCCATAAAATATGTATGGAAAGGTATTGGAGTCAATTTTTTCTTCTGTTTTAGATGGTTTACACAGTATATACCTGCCTGGACTCCTCTGTAGGGTAATTTTCTGAACTAATTTCCTGTCCTTAATATTTGTCATCTTTTTCTGTGAAAGACATACTCTGACGAGTAATCACCCAGCACGCAAAGTAAACTTGGAAGGAAAACAAACTACTTACAGTCTGAAGAGACACTGAAATACCGGTACTGAAGCAGTAATAGATTAAAACTTTCCACAGGTATTTTTCCTTTAAATTGACTTGTATCAGTTACTTGCCAGTGGATTGTTGACCTGTGCTGTGGTTTGTATGTATTTCTAAGAGAAATGTAAAGAATTTCCACAGTCCATATTTGGAGCAGAATGTACATAACTAAATATTGTTTAAATATTTTATTTTGTAATGTAATTCCAAAATTTGTTTCTGGGAATTTAAACAGTTCTTATTAAAGTATAATAACATGAAAGTAAATGCCTCGGTATCCAGATCAGGATTAAATTCCTGCGGTGCTCCTTGATTTGTGTTCCCTCATCTAGAATCCAGTTTAGTGTTTCAAGTTGTGGTTTCTTTTTGTCAAGATCTGTGGGGTTTTGTGGGGAGTTTTTGTTTCAAAAATCATGACTACTTTTATTGAAACTACAGAATTCTAAGGGTAGAAATCGATGCTTTTACAATTGCATACTTCAGTGTTTCTTTGGAATAATTTCTGATCAAAGGAATAAAAGCTTGCAGTGGTTTCTTTCCTGAGGAATCACAGAGATGTAAAAATGTAATTGATAACTTGATAAAATTGTGGTAAAAGCTGGGTTTTGTACCAATAAGGAACTAATTTTCCTAAATGATCTATCTGTAACAAAGGGGGGGAAAAAATAACATACATAGGGGGAAGTTTGGTCAGTTTACATAACTTTCTTTTATTAATGAGCTCTTAATTAATTGTAGTTTTGACTTAAATAATTTATCTCCACAGGATGTTTTTCTTCCAAATACTCCTCTTGTGACTGAATGCATAAAAAGTAAATGGTGCTTTGGATTAATTTAATGATACTGGCATCTAAAATTGTATGCTTGTATTAATATGCACAGCTAGAGTGAGCAATTCTATTACTGTATGCATTTAGTCTTGCTTGATTTTATAAAAAACTACTTACCAAGTAGATAAATTTGGTAGCGTTAGATGTTTTCTTACTGACTTTTTATTCCATCTACATGAGGAGGTGCAGCCAGCTTCATCTTTTTGAGAAACATAAAATGACAGCTTTAAACCACTTTCTTTTAATACTGTTTCATACTTGGTCTACTCACCTGTTTTTATCATCATAACAGCAGAAGATAATTAACTGTGCAGTAATTCTTTGAATTTTTATTTTGTAAGATTCAAATTTAGGAGTTAACTGTTGGTAACTGAGGAATCTTGGTTTCCCATGCTTTTATCTTTGCTATTGTTAACCTTGATGTTTAATTTGGGTCCCCACACCTATAGCTGTTCAGCTTCACGTGAGCCAAATTTTAATCCAGAGAAATCTGGCTTTTTCACTAATAGTGATAGCTTTGCCATGGTCATAAGGTAAATATTTGTTTCTTTTTGGAAAGTGGCTACAGAGTATTTAATTTTGTTTTATTCTCTGTGCTGTGACCTAAGTGGTAATAGCATAAATAAAGGTTTGTTTCTGTAGCTGTTCTGTTGGGATTCTAGCTGCTGAGAGAGTTCTCTGGCCGATTTACCCTGAATTAGGCTTCAGCAGACACGTTCTGCCACCTCCTGCTTGCTTTGTAACACTGCTGGCTGCTTTGCTGTCATTCTGAGCTTGAAGTTGTAATGCCTCACCTTGCGGTGGTCTTTTTTTTTTTTTTTTTTTTTTTTTTTTTTTTTAAACCTCGTTAAATCTGGTTATTTGATTTCTGTTGGATAAATTGTGTGAATATAACTGAATTACTGCTAAAAACTTTGCAGGACTTCGTGATGTAAATTTGTAAGAATACAAATTATAGCAGCATAAATACTAATATGGCTATTCATGCTAGGCAAAACAGTATGCATGAAGGTTCTTAGACTGTATGTAAAGGTAGCAAAGATTATTTCATTATTCATTTATTTATTTTTAAATCAAAGTGTAAGTTTAAGTTGAAGCAGAGAGTTTTGGCACAAATATAACTGCTTTCCAGTAGCTTGAAATACAGTTGTACTTAACCTTTCTCAGACCTTGACAAAGTGATTTGTGAAAAACAGGCACCAAAACCAGTCACATTCCCACCAGCACCACCAGCTCTTTGTGATACCAGCTCTTAGGTCACAGATTTGTGTTTCTTAAATAATTCTGTATGTAGGTGATCTAACTAAAACTGAGGAGAAGATCAGTGCTGCTGGTTTTAACATAATAAAGTTAATGGTTTTAACTATTTTCCCTCCAGGCATAACTGTTGGCATCCACGATCTGTGAGGTTATGACTAACTCCCGTCCTTCATCTAAGTGTTGTTCATGAAGTGTTGTGTAGCTTCAAAGCACAGCTGTTGGCCATACCTGCTAACTCAGTATTTCCTTCTTGGGTTTGCTCCTATCTATCCATGTACCTCCACCATGTCAAGCCATCGTGCTTAAGAAAGGAAATAGAACATCCTGCTTGGCAATCAGAAAAGTCACAACAAATGTATTCAGCTCTTGCAAAACTTGCAACTTAATGAAGCAAATCATTTCAAGCTTGATAAAGAATAATTCCAAAAGTTGTACACATGGAAAGACAATAGTCTCTAGGACAGTAATTTACAGAAGTAATTAATTTTGCACTGTCAGTCACACTGAGATGTAAGACAAAAGATAAGGCTGATCGATTTTGTTTCACGTGTTGCAATGAAAACGCATCCTGGCACTGCTGTGAAAACAAGGCCATCTGTGCGTGCACTGGTCACCAAAACACTACCGGTAAATTAGCAATATAGTTTATTGCCTTGATGAGCAAGACTTCTATCACCTGGGACTCAGGTAAAGAGTAATATCCTCCCATGTCAATACAGCCTGCCAAAGTAATAATACAGTTAACAAGAACTCTTTGCTACCCCACTACCTAAAACCCAAGTTTCACCCCTTCAGCACTCCAATGAAATGGCTAATTTTCCAGTATTTAAAACTGGGTAGAAGTCATGTTGGCAAACTATGTATGAGAATGTGTTTCTTAACTTGGTTTTGCTGCTTCTACTTTTTTTTTTCTTTGTATTACTGCTTCTTTTTTGTTAGCCTTACAGATGCTATGATTTAGAGGTATGCCAGAAGAAGAGTATCTCCAAGAAAAAGTATCAAAGATGATGTGAGGAAATTACTGCTTTTCTTCTACATCACCCGGTGCTACTAGAATTCATTTGAGATTGTGCTCACCATCAGGTAGGCACTTTCCACAGAAGAATCATCCCCATGCTGGAGAACTCGCAGTCTAAGCCTAGACAGACATGCAGATGTTGTCCTGTGGGACAGGGGTGGGTGTCAGTGTAATTAACAGGCCAGGAGGTGCACGTTCTGGGCTTTCCAGGAGAGCCCAGTTGCCTGGTGAGTGTTAGCCATGGCTCCTGCAGCCCCCCGGGTGCCGGTGGCCCTGAGGAGGTGTGTACCCAGCAGCGTGTGCCCAGCCCTTGCACAGCGGCGTCCACCCCCTCATCCTGCCTGGACTTTGCTGTTGTGGGAGGGATAGGCAGCACTCCCTGCAGCTGCAGGAGGGCTCTGGGCTACAGGTGAGCAGTTTCTTCATGTTTGGTTTATGTGTTCTGAGTTAAGGGTAGTCATTTAAGTAATTTTGTTATTAAAATTGCAGACCATCTCTGTGAGAAGTCTGGGGGGAAATACACATGAGAGCATAAAGAAGATATTTTAACATTTAACAGTCCTAAAAATAGATGTTTTAAAAATTTTAAAAAACCCCAACTTTCTTTTCTCATGGACATAAGTGAGGATCAACCTCTTAGAACAAAAAATGTGGAAAAAAGGCTGTGCTCTGACTGTACCAGGACAGGTGGGAATGGGAAGTCAGGAAGCTCTTAAAAATTATAAAAATGTGCAGTTTGGTTATTATAAAACATGTGACTGTAAACCATTTTTTTTCTCTTTAGAAAAGTCACTTGTATTAACAAAGATGTCTAACCCCCATGTCATATTTTTAAAGCTACTGATTGTGTCTTCTCCCAGTACATTTTCTGTCCAGTAAAATCCATTAAAGTGTAGGTGTTCAGCAGCTTTGAAAAATGAGCCTTGGCCTCTACATGGGAACACACTGTCGTCAGAGGTCATTTATTAATTATTGATCTAGTAAGTGGGGGGTTTTTTATTCAAATGTAATTCTTTTGCTATTTTTCTATCTATAGAAAATGACCACTAGTTTAAGGTTTAGGGTTGCTGCTTACAGGTAACCTGATCAAGTTCAGATATTGAAGTATCAGTGGTCACTAGGTTACAGCTGGTGTAGTGGTCATAATTTTGGTTTAGGTCAGCCTGAAGTAAGTGACCTATGGTCAGTGATCTAGGTGGGACTTCTAGACTGGTGCTAGCGAAATATGCAGCTGGGTTTAGGTCAAGATTTGGCAGGGGTCTGAGTTTAGGATTGGAGTTACAGAAGCACATGTATGAGGGTTTTGTTTTCAGATGCACGCAGAAGTGAGAAAAGGGAAGGCAGTTGGGAGGATTTATTTACTTGATAATGCTTTCGTGTAAAATAACATTGTGCAGATCTTCTGTGGAACTAGTATTACATGTGCCAAGTCTTGTACAAGTGACAGAAAAAAATAGTTTGTTTCGGAGGCCTTTTGACTTTGGACTTTCTTACTTTTATTATGTTTACGCATTTCAGCCTGGTGTTGCTGTAGAAAACATTACAGAAACCTCACATACAGGTATGGAACTACTAAATACTGAGAAGATCCTCTGAAAGGGTAACTTGTATCCTGTCAAAATTAGTATCTTTTGGCTAAACCTGCTTCTTGGACTTAGTTTGTGTGTATTTGTGAGAACAGTCACTGTTTATAAGTAGGCAAAATGAATCGTTCTAATTCAGATCTTATGTGCTGTGGCCTCATCTCCAACAACCTCTGTACCTGGCAGGGAATGTCTGTGAGAACAGAGGTAAATTGTCAGGCTGGACTTTATGATTGTTGGCCTTCAGCTGTAACTTGAGAAAAGTAGCTGAAGCTTCTTTTCTACCAATAGAAACTCAAAAGTAACATAAAGCGTCAGACAAGTGGCACAAGCAAGCTAAGAGTATTAGCCAGTTTGCCAGTGGCTGGCCATGAGGAGCGGCAGTGCCCTTGTGCTGAACAAATGGCAAGTCTGGAGCTGGGACAGAGAAATTGTTCTTGTTCAGAAGCTCAGGACGTGATTGCAATCTGCGAGCCTGGATGCGCCAGGGGACTGACACGTGTACCCCTTTCCAGATGGGCACCCTGCAGAATGCCTCCTTCCTTCCCTTCTGTTTCATGCAGACAGTGAAGCAGCCTCGTGGCATCTTCCCATTTAACTCCTCAACACCTTTCCTCCATTCGTTATAGCTTTCCACAGACTGGCTGTGTATCAGCTGAGCAGTTTTACCTGTGCAGAAACTTTGTGCCACGAGGAGAAGGTTGAGCCTAGAAGGAAATGGCCTGACACGCGCTTTGGATCTGTTGGTTGCTTGATGCATATGAGCTGGCAGAAGTGATTTTGTCTGTGTGTGTTACTCTCAGCACTAATCTTCACGTGACCTTTTTTTTTGGCTTGACAAACCAGGTTTAGCGGATTAACAGCTGTTATTACTTCATGCTGTCACCATGCCATAAATCACAAGGCCCTAGAAAGTATTTGGGGGAAAACATCTTAAAGCTTGGCTCAGCAGTGAGCTGAACAGAAATGAGATAGCAGCCCTGCTCTGCTTGTGCGATGGAAAGGATCCTCTTTCTCCATGCACCCAAGTGAGCTACAATCCGGTTTCAGTTTAGGACTCTAATAATTAGCTTTTCTTTTAATATTCCATGTATTTTTTTAACATGGTGGGATTCCAGGCTTAAGTCTGATGGCTGGAAGAGCAGTTGGTTTGAAGACCGAAGGACATTTAGGAAGAAGATTAACACAAGCCTGTAGGCAAAGCTGCTGCGATGCTGAAATCCGTTCGGTTCTCGGAGTGTCGGCAGCGGGTTTGGGACCTTTAGGCGGGGTCGGCGATCTAACGGAAAGGGAGCGGCCGGGCTGCGCGACCCCCGGCTGCCGCGAAGGCACCGCCCGGCCGGGCCCCG